CCCCCCCCCCCCCCCCAACACAGACACTATTTTACCCTAAAAATCACCTTTTATTCTCTGTGTACAAGCACTGATAACACCAGCATATTACCACAAAATAATGTTTAAAGGCAGAACTCAATCAAGCCAAAAATACACAAATAAATAAATATTGCAATTTTAAGTTATTTTGTTCTGAGCAAAAGATGGATTTTTTTTTTAATTTAATTTTAAATATCACCCTTTTGAATTAAACAAAGTTCCATACCTGCAAAGTCACTCTTTGTGTCAAGCTTCAGGAGTGTTATCACCATGCACACTATGAAGGTCGCCATGTTTGAAAATGACAGTTCATTAACAACAAAGTCCATGCTCAATAATCCAGGATTACAATCCAACATTTTTCAGTCAGGTCATCTGGACAGTTTCTTTTTTTGTGCTGAAACGTTTCACCTTCCATCCAGAAGGCTTCATCAGCCAAGGAAACACACAACACAAAGCTGATTCTTCCCCCAACAGCTTACTCCAAAGTGGAACAAACCAGTTCTGTTGGTGCTAAGATGGTCTCTTTGGCACGCCCCCTCCTCCATTGCTGGCCCTCTTCCTTGTTGACAGACGTGTCAAACTGGTTGAAAGTCAACTGGTCCAGATGACCTGACTGAAAAATGTTGAATTGTATACCTGGATTATTGAGCATGGACTTTGCTGTTTTTTGTGAAAAAAAAAAAAAAAAGATTTGATAAAATTCAGTTCCTCTGAAAATAAGAACATCTCAAGACTAATAAACGGTTTTTAACCAGACTTGTTGTCCTGAAGTTGAGCAACGTGCAGTCACTCAATGCTCGACTGGGACTCCTCTAGCATCGGTGCAGTGTGGCCATCAGGACCTGATGAGGGGTTCTGGTCAGTCAGGTCCAGTGGCACCGTGAGGTCATTAAACCAGAAGACCAGCAGCAGCAGGTGAAACAGGTTTTCAAACCATCACTGACTAAAGATACTTCCCCCTGGACCTGAAGCATCCTGGACTCTGAGACCTTGTTTTCCAAATTAAACGCATAAACTGACTTTCACCTGAAAAGACGACTTTGGACCTCTGAGCATCGGTCCAGCCCGTTTAGTCCTAAGACACTTTTGACCCGCCTCTAGTTCAGGACTCGACACGGAAGACCGTAGCTCCGGTCCTGGACCCATTTCTGTTTGGTGGATCGTGAAGCACAGACTCCATCTGATGTTCACGCCTCGACAATACGTTGATCCTATTTTCTGAGAAACCGAACTTAGAATTTTCTGTAGCTGTCAGTCAAAATCCATCAAATGAACAGGAGTACAGATCTGAACTGTATCACTGTGTGTGTGTAATGGATCTACACAATGAACATGTTTAATTTGCTTTTGGATTTTGACTCCAAAAGCACTGCATTTATCTGTAATTAAAGTGACAGTTCTGCCACTTTTCAGTTTAAAGGCCTGATGAGATAACTGCTAATACAAATACAGCAAAAGAGGATTAAAACAGCAGTTCATGCAAACGTTGTACAATCCTTCACATAATCAATAATTACGTTGTTTACATGGTATTTATGGTTGTTTACAAGTGTAAATAGCAGCAGCAATGACACCTGACACTTTCTGGGCATCCGATGTTCACGTCCTGCAGAAACCTGACATTTCTGCTGAAACAGCTGTGTAATGCAAAAAGGAATGCAGTGCAAACGTTTAAACAACAGTGTTTGCATA